TGGCAGGCGGATTCTTAATCACTGCACCACCAGGGAAGTCCCTGAAGGTTCTCCCCTTAAAATATTTCCTGAATATAATCACTTTTTACTACCTTCACTGTTATCACCTTGATCTAAGTCTCCATCATTTCTAACCTGAATGAGTCCAGTTAACGCTTGTGGGAATAAAGACCAACCCAGTGAGAACAGGCAAAGGCTATTTGTACAGAGCTTGCTGTAACAAAGGAGCCAGCCACCATCACTTGTGTTTTGGCCGAGACTCAAAAGCAGGCAGAGGAATTGGAAAACGTCATAGTGGAGAAAAAGGAAGATTTCAGGTATGTCCCTATTGAAGGCTGTTATTGTGGGGAAGTTGTAGGTGGGCCAATAAGAGGTAGGACATCTTATGTGACTGGTGAAGGCTGCATATTTGGCTTTCTCTGGTTGGTCCTAAGTTGGAAGCTGTCAGTTATTAATCAAGTCCTGCCTGTTTTGGGCTGGTAGTTATAGGAGTTTGGCTTTATGGAATTTTTTCTAGAGATGGTGGTCTGACTTTGTACAAGTCTGACTTATAAATAATAAGTAGGCTGGCTTCCTGAGCTCCCTAGATAATGGGTCAGTTTCTAGGGCTGGTTGCAGACAGTAGGTTAGAGATCTATTTTTACATATGGTTTGGCCATTGTATATTCAGCCTGTCATGCTGCATTCAAAATTTAATGGTGTTTCTTTGGTGAACACTTGGAACCAACTTGATTGGGAAGTAACTACTCTTACTGTCATCTCCATTTACCTAGAAAGAACCTGAGGGTCAGAGAGGTTAATTAACTTGCCCAAGATCACAAGGTAAGAAGAGCCTGGCTTTAAACCTTGGCAGTTTTCATTCCAGAAGTCACCACCTTAGACTACCTCCCTCAGCCACTTAGAGACTGGGGTCACCCTGTCCTTGCCAGTGTGTTAGATAAGGATTTAAAATGCAGCCTCTCCACCAGCAGAATTTGCATTTTGCCTCTGCTAACTCTCTCCCTGAGGAAGTCAGTCCATTCTGTATGACCTAACTCATCTTATATCTTCTCAGTGAGACTTGACTCCATTCATCCTATTTTCCTTTTAAATATCCAATGGATTATAGCAGATAAAGGAGTGAATCTCTGAGAGGAAAATAGAAAGCCTTGGGACATCCCTGTATACACATTTAGGAGTCATACTGCCTAGGTTTGATTCTCAGCTCCCCCACTTAGTAGCTACAGACCTTGGGCTGATCTCTGAATTTATCTAAGCCTCAGTTTCCAAATCTGTAAATGGGGATGATGATAAAATACTACCTATCCTATGAAGCATAAAGATTTAAATAACAGACACAAAGCACTTGCATGATGCCAAGGCAGATGGTAAGTGCTCAATGTAAATTAAAACACAAATACCCTTAGAAGATTCTTTCCTATGGCCTTAACTAACGTAATATGGAAAGTGGGAATTTTAATTGTCAATAGTTTGGGCTGGAAAGGGAGGAGAGAAAAATCCTAGAGTACTCTTTTTCAAAAATTTTCGGGACTTCCCTGGAGGTCCAGTGGTTAAGAATCCGCCTTCTAATGCAGGGGACACAGGTTCAGTCCCTGGTTGGGGAACTAAGATCCCACATGCCGTGGGGCAACTAAGCCTGCACGCAACAACTACTGAGTTCACACGCCTCAACTAGAGAGAAGCCCGTGCGCTGCAACGAAAGATCCCACGTGCCTCAATGAAGATCCCGTGTGCCACAACTAAGACCCGATGCAGCCAAAAAATAAAATAAAATAAATAAATATTTAAAAAAATTGTCTGGGAAAAGTGAAGACTTTTCAAAAATGTTGACAAAAAGTGGCATTCCCACCCATCCCCACGCACACACATGCTTCTTGCTCCCATACGCTATTCACTTTTGAGATCCTCCAATGATTACAGGGAAAAGACTGAATAAGATTTTATTTTTACTGATTGAATTGAACAATTGGTCTTTGTAAATCCAAGTAAATACACAGCACATTAAGAACTTCAAATCCTATTTTATTTGTCTTCTCTGGGTCACTGTAATTGAAATAATAGAAGCCAGATAAATAGGCATTCACTGGAGTAACAATACAGAGATGCCTAGCCTTTTGTTTGTAGAAATAATCACATATCAAGGGCCTTATCCTGTACTTGGGTACAAAGCACAAAAGAATAATTTAAATTTCCAGTTCAAAAGAAAAGCGATCCACACCCTCCAACCACAGTTTATTTTCTGTCTCGGTGGGATCTTCCCATCTAGGGGAGCTAGGGAATGTGGCACAAAGAGGGTAGAGAATTGGTTCAGTGGTGCTGCAGCGTCTGGAATCCCTGCATGGCCAGAGGGGAAGGTCTCTGGAGTCCTAGCCCGTAGCCATAGTGAGGCGGAGAGAACGTGGGTGCAGGTGCCGCAGAGTGAAGTGAGGTGGGAGCTGGCGGAAGTTCCTATCTGATTGCCTTTATTTTCAAATGATTTAGAGAAGCAAAGTCAAGTGCTGAAAATGGGGACGGGGCCTCGAGGTTTGTAAAGAGAGGCAAAAACAGGAATTGTCAGGGAGAGTGGAAGAGTGAATGGGCTAGCAACAGGACCTGCTTGAGGTTCAAGGTCATGACTTGACAGTGACCAGTCAGCCCCTTTCTCTAGCCGCTTTCAGCTCTCAGGGTACAGGGGCAGAGCAGGCAGAGACTTGGTTTTAACTGAGAAATATGTGGTTTAGCCAAGTGAGTCTGACAAAGTAAGAAGAGGCCAGGGGACTGGGCAAGGGGGAACAAGGATAACAGTGGGTTGGGGAATCTGAGCCCCTGTTCACTGTCCCTCCCCCTCCCCCATGCCGTGTCCTCACTTGGAGGGCGGGATACTTGAAAGTGAAATTTTGGAGGGGTTTTAGTGATTGGTAGTGACATGGTTTAGGATCTGGGGTGAGACCATGGGGGTGATTGGTGAAGTGGGATAGAGACCAAGCTCATCAGAGGTGAGAAAAATCAAGAAACTGAGTGAACAGGGTATTGGAAGGGTCAACAATGTAGATATTGGAATCACCAGTAATTAAGACAGATTTGTATTGGAGAGAGGGACAGTGAGCCAGGAGCTAAATATTCAAGGGATAAAGGAGGTGATGCTGGGAGCAGGACGGTAACAAGGAGGGGTGGTAAGTGGTGTAATCTGATAACATAAGATTCAGAGCTGCAGGGATTTTACAGAGGAAGGAAGGACAATGTTCTGGAAGAGAGGACAAACGCTCCATCTCTAAGTCTAGTGGATGGGAGAGAGTATAGATCTTACTCGAGGGATCTTCGGGGAAAGTCACATTCTCAGAGCAGAGCCAGGATTCTCTTAAAAAGGTCCCTTTGGAAATTCAGCAAACAGATCAAGGGGGTAGAGAATGATACATAGTAACCCTAGAATAAAATGTGATACACATGCTGCTTTGATTGCTCAGAGAAAAGGCATGCAGGAGGATTATGGATAGGATGTGACAGGTGACCTGAGTTTTAGAGGATGGGTAGAAGTTCTCCAGGTAGATAAAGAGAAAGGAAAGAGAGAGAAGAGCAAGGATAAAGGCATGGTGGCATGGTTAGATTTGGGGAACTGAAAAGAGGCTGTTGAGAATAGAGGAGGACGGATGCGGGGCTGGAGAGTCCGAGGCAGGGGTTCCATCATGAAGGGCCTTGAATGCCGTATTTGGAGGTTGAACTTTACTTGGAAGTTGTTATAAGCCATTGAAGGTGTATGAGCAGGACAGTGACTGGATTTTTAAGTAGTATTGAATTCAGTAAAACAACCATTCTGTGATTTGCATTTTTTTCATGTATGTATCTATGAATACAGATCTCTTTCTATCTAATCCAAAATATGAAGAGGATTCCAGTTATTACAGCGCAGATTGTTGTCATCTGGATGCAACCAAATACTGAAGATTTAAGGCAGGGACCAGAGCACTAAGTGGCTTGGGGAGGGGCCTAAAGACCCCTAGGGGTTAGGAGTCTTGGCACAGACAAAACCCTGAACTGAATTCTTAGCTTTTCATTTACCATTTTGTGGCCTAAACAAATTACTTAATTTCTCTGACTCTCCTTATTGGTAAAATGGGAATAATAGTCCTTACTTGAAGGTTCCTGTGTGGATTAAATGAGGTCATGCTGTAATGTACTCAGCAGAGTGACTGTCTCATGGTAAGTGAATATTAGCTGTGTTTTTTTTTTTTTTTTTTTGCGGTACGCGGGCCTCTCACTGCTGTGGCCTCTCCCATTGTGGAGCACAGGCTCCGGACGCGCAGGCTCAGCGGCCATGGCTCACGGGCCCAGCCGCTCCACGGCATGTGGGATCTTCCCGGACGGGGGCACGAACTCGTGTCCCCCGCAGCGGCAGGCGGACTCTCAACCACTGAGCCACCAGGGAAGCCCAGCTGTTATTTTTATGGTGTATGAACTTCAAGCTCACACATGCGCCTACATTACTTCCTCTCTGGTTTGGCTGCACATTGCAATGACCTGGTCCTACCTTTTAAAAACAGGCATAACTTGTTTCCACCCCCAGGCATTATGATGGATTTGGTCAGGGGTACCGCCTGGGTGTTTTTATAAGCTCCCCAAGGTGATCTTAATGTGCGATGAGGTTGAATGCTGTTGGCTCTCAGAGGGCTGCACCCTGAACTGGCAGCATTAGCATCACCTGGGAATTAGTTAGAAAGGCAAAATTTCCCTGGTCTACTGAATCAGAAACTCTGGGGATGAATCAGCAATCTGTATTTTAACAAGCTCCCCATGCAGACTCAAGTTTCATAAGTACTGATCCAGGGCTAGCCGTTGAGGGTGGTCATTTCAGCTGTTGACATCACTTGCACCTGAACCAACAGGTCTCTCAGACCCTCCCCCTCCACTTCCTCTGCTTGCTCTCCTTTTTTTTTTTTTTCCCCCTTCAGAAGAGGCTGATTTAGGGCTGAGATTTCTTTTCTTTTGCTTATTTAATTTTGTATATTTTCTTTTTCTTCTTTCAGGTACGCTTCCATTCTCCCAACAAAATGTCGGTGCTGGCTACTGGGGGTATGGAGCAAATAAGGAAGACACGGTTCCTAATCCCATGGAAGGCCCAGTTGTCGTATTGTGATTTATAATAAATGTGTACTTGGCCTTTGTCCCCACTTCTGGCACAGACCTCCGAAATTGGAAATTTCCCTTGGAATTTTCTGTGATGAGAGCGTTTAAAGGTGTCTTTTGTTGTGTTGATGGTAACTTCTGAACCACACCTAAGGATGGAGGCTGGTTGCCAGGAGAGCCCATCCTGTGATTGTAAGTTTCAGTTCCACCCCCGACCTCGGGGCAGGGGAGAGGGGATGGCGAATGACTTCAATCGCCAATGGCCAATGATTTAATCAATCGTGCCTACGTCATGAAGCGGCCATAAAAGCCCGGAAGGACTGAGTTCAGAGAACTTCCGGGTTGGGGAACATGGAGGTGCCGGGAGAGTGTTGCACCGAGAGGGCATGGAAGCTCCGTGCTCTTTCCCCACATCTTGTCCTATGAATCTCTTCCTTCTGGTCGTTCCTGAGTTATAGCCTTTCATAATAAACTGGCAATCTGGTAAGTAAAATGTTTCTTTGAGTTCTATGAGCCACCCTAGCAAATTAATCGAACCTAAGCAGGGGTTTGTTGGAACCTCCAATTATCGCTGGTCCGTCAGAAAACCTGGGCTTTTGACTGGCGTCTGAAGCAGGGGTGGCGGGTGCAGGGGGCAGCCTTGTGGGGCTGAGCCCTTATCCTTGGGATCTGATGCTACCTCTGTGTGATATCAGAAGTGAGTTGAATTGTAGGGCACCCAGCCGGTGCTGGAGAATTGCTTGGTGTGGGAAAGAACCCGCCGCACATTGGAGTTGGAGTCAGAAACTTACAAGCATTAAAAAAAAATAAAAAGTAGGGCTTCCCTGGTGGCGCAGTGGTTGAGAGTCCGCCTGCCGATGCAGGGGACACGGGTTCGTGCCCCGGTCCGGGAAGATCCCACATGCCGCAGAGCGGCTGGGCCCATGAGCCATGGCCGCTGAGCCTGCGCGTCTGGAGCCTGTGCTCCGCAACGGGAGAGGCCGCAGCAGGGAGAGGCCCGCGTACCGTAAAAAAAAAAAAAAAAAAAAAATGTAACCTACTAGGCCTGTCTTGGGCAGGGTGAAGGGTGATTTTAGGTCCTCAGCTTGCCTGTTTCATATCCTCCTCTTCCTGTGATCTTGTTCTCTCTCCCCTGCCTGTGTGAAAACCTATTCTCACGTTTGGATTTGACCTCAGTCATTTGTAATTTAGTTTGAGCTACTCTGAGTATAAGCCTTGTTTGCCTACCAGACTGCATACACCTGAGGAATGGGGCTGTGTCTTTATTTCTTTGAATGCACACACTTCTGCAGTTCACATTCCTGTAATAAGATGCCACTTGCACTTTTAAGTGCTGAACAGCACTGGCTTTGGCACCACAGATGAGGGTTTGTCTGCAGCCTGCTAGCTGTGTAAACTTGGGCAACTCATGGCGCTTCTTAGCACTTCAGTTTGCCCATCTAAAATGGGCTTGATGATCGTTAACGTCATACAGTTGTGAAGACTGTGTAAGAGAACGCATGGAAAGTGCTTAGGTCAATACTCTACTGAGGATATTCACTGAGAGCGCTCAATGAATGGTACATGTTAATGATCATTATTAAATTTCACTTCCTGCTGGGAAAGGATAGGTTTCATCCAGAGCAATATGGTAAAATGCCTGTCAGACTCCAGTGAGCTGTTGGGAAGCTTTTGGACAGAGTCTCTTTTCCCTGAGGTACAATTTCTACTCTGACAGCCCCCTTTCCAGGCAGCCCAGAAATGTCACCGCCACCAATGTCTCCAGAAACCCCTCTTACTGAGCCCTTCATACAGTTTCCTGTGGTCTCACCAATGCTGGTGCTGAAGCTGCCTAGAGCAAGTCCTAAATCTTCTCTTCAGGGAGTTTAATACCTTGCAGAAGCCTGAAGCCTATTTTATTTTATTATCTTTTTATTTATTTTAAAATAAATTTATTTATTTATTTATTTTTGGCTGAGTTGGGTCTTTGTTGCTGCGCGTGGGCTTTTCTAGTTGCGGCAAACAGGGGCTACCCTTCGTTGTGGTGTGCAGGCTTCTCATTGTGGTGGCTTCTCTTGTTGCGGAGCATGGGCTCTAGGTGCGCGGGCTTCAGTAGTTGCTGCATGCGGGCTCTAGAGCACAGGCTCAGTAGTTGTGGCGCATGGGCTTAGTTGCTCTGTGGCATGTGGGATCTTCCCGGACCAGGGCTCGAACCTGTGTCCCCTGCCTTGGCAGACGGATTCTTAACCACTGCGCCATCAGGGAAACCCCTTGAGCCTATTTTAATTGAATTATTTCATTCAGTGTCAGGCTTAAAGAGCATCCCTACAGGGTCTCAGCTCTGAATGAATGCATTAAAAAATTAAATACTGTAGATGATGGCATAATCCTCGAGGCAGTTATAAATAGAATCTCCTCTGGTGCCGTTTCATTTCCCTGCATTAGTTAATAAACACATTTTTATAGCGTCTGCTTTTCATTTTCCTCCCCTAAAGTTCTTTAGTTGACTTAGTAAGAAAGAGAACAAAACTCAGAATAAAACAAGATATTGGGGAAGAATTTACTATCTTAATTTTCGGGGCTGGAAGGGATTTTCAACATTACCTGGTCTAACCCTTCACATAATTTACCTGGCATGAGGCAGAGGTCTAGAGAAGGAGATGGCTTAGCTAGGGTCACAGAACTTCACCTCCGATGAACTTAGCTGGAAAAGACACAATCTTTGTTCTGGACGAGTATTGGGAGCCACAGTGAAACATGGTGTAGGAGAATGAGCAGACCAGGGCCGTGATTAAGGGGGGTGCTTTGGCCTCAGACTACCAGGGATTGAATCTTTGTCCACCTCATGCTGTCTGCCTTTGGGTAAGTGATTTAACATTGCTGGGGCTTAAGTTTCCTTACCTCCAAATAGGGATAATAATCGTACCTACCTCAGAGTGCTGTTCAGTCAGACAACAGTTCACTAAAAAGCTTAGAACTGTACCTGGCACATAGTAAGTGCTCAATACATTTTAGTTGTTATTGTTAGTAAATAATTTTTTTAAAAGCTCTCATTGGGATGGTAATGGGCAGGCCCTGCATCTTTAGCACTTTATGGCAGTGGCTGTGGGCTCCCCATAAGGATTGAATTCCTTATTTCCTCCAGTAGGAGGAAAGTCCCAGAGGTCCTTAATCCAAGGGCAGGCTTCTTTGCTAATGAGAGTATGTAGAAGAAGGGCAGGTGTTAAGGGGTCAGCTCCATCAGAGAGGGCTGAAAATGATGCTGTCTGATCCTTTGAGAAGATCAAATACAAAGTGGATTTTAAGTGCTTAAAAAATGTGGGAGCTCAGTGAAAGGGAGGTGTTAGTAACAATAGTAAAACTAATGTTACCAAGTACATTAACAGCCATTATCTCATTTGATTCTTAATTATATATGAATATATAATCTATAGATATTATGTAGTAAACCATCAACTCTCTTGAATAAACAGATGAGTAGTTGGATAGGCATTATTGTCCCTTTTTTTCTTTTTTTTTTGCGGTACTTGGGCCTCTCACTGCCGTGGCCTCTCCCGCTGCGGAGCACAGGCTCCAGACACGCAGGCCCAGCGGCCATGGCTCACGGGCCCAGCTGCTTCGCGGCATGGGGGATCTTCCCGGACCGGGGCACGAACCTGCGTCCCCTGCATCGGCAGGCGGACTTTCAACCACTGCGCCACCAGGGAAGCCCTATTGTCCCATTTGAATGAGGAAATAGGGATGCAGTCTTTGCTATGTAACAGACCACCCCAAAGATTAGTAGCTGAAAGCAACAGCGACTCCTTTCTTTTTCTGTATGTTTATCTTTTATTTATTTATTTATTTTTATTAGTCATCCATTTAATACACATCAGTGTATACATGTCAATCCCAAGCTCCCAATTCATCACACCACCACCCCCACCCCCCGCCGCTTTTCCCCCTTGGTGTCCATACGTTTGTCCTCTACATCTGTGTCTCAACTTCTACCCTGCAAACCGGTTCATCTGTACCATTTTTCTAGGTTCCACATACACGCGTTAATATACGATATTTGTTTTTCTCTTTCTGACTTACTTCACTCTGTATGACAGTCTCTAGGTCCATTACGTCTCTACAAATGACCCAATTTTGTTCCTTTTTATGGCTGAGTAATATTCCATTGTATATATGTACCACATCTTCTTTATCCATTCGTCTGTCGATGGGCATTTAGGTTGCTTCCATGACCTGGCTATTGTAAATAGTGCTGCAATGAACATTGGGGTGCATGTGTCTTTTTGAATTATGGTTTTCTCTGGGTATATGCCCAGTAGTGGGATTGCTGGGTCATATGGTAGTTCTATTTGTAGTTTTTTAAGGAACCTCCATACTGTTCTCCATAGTGGCTGTATCAATTTACATTCCCACCAACAGTGCAAGAGGTTTCCCTTTTCTTCACACCGTCTCCAGCATTTATTGCTTGTAGATTTTTTGATGATGACCATTCTGACTGGTGTGTGGTGATACCTCATTGTAGTTTTGATTTACATTTCTCTAATGATTAGTGATGTTGAGCATCCTTTCATGTGTTTGTTGGCAATCTGTATATGTTCTTTGGAGAAATGTCTCTTTAGGTCTTCTGCCCATTTTTGGATTGGGTTGTTTGTTTTTTTAATATTGAGCTGCATGAGCTGTTCATATATTTTGGAGATTAATCCTTTGTCTGATGATTCATTTGCAAATATTTTCTCCCATTCTGAGGGCTGTCATTTGGTCTTGTTTATGGTTTCCTTTGCTGTGCAAAAGCTTTTAAGTTTCATTAGGTCCCATTATTTTATTTTTTTATTTTTTATTTTTTTGCGGTACGCGGGCCTCTCACTGTTGTGGCCTCTCCTGTTGCGGAGCACAGGCTCTGGACACGCAGGCTCAGTGGCCATGGCTCACAGGCCTAGACGGTCCGTGGCATGTGGGATCTTCCCGGACTGGGGCACGAACCCTCATCCCCTGCATCGGCAGGTGGACTCTTAACCACTGTGCCACCAGGGAAGCCCCCATTTGTTTATTTTTGTTTTTATTTTCATTACTCTAGGAGGTGGATCAAAAATGATCTTGCTGTGATTTATGTCAAAGAGTGTTCTTCCTATGTTTTCCTCTAAGAGTTTGATAGTGACCGGTCTTACATCTAGTTCTCTAATCCATTTTGAGTTTATTTTTGTGTTTGGTGGTAGGGAGTGTTCTAATTTCATTCTTTTACATGTAGCTGTCCAGTTTTTCCAGCGCCACTTACTGAAGAGACTGTCTTTTCTCCATTGTATATCCTTGCCTCCTTTGTCATAGATTAGTTGACCATAGGTGCGTGGGTTTATCTCTGGGTTTTCTATTCTGTTCCATTGATCTATGTTTCTGTTTTTGTGCCAGTACCATATTGTCTTCATTACTGTAGGTTTCTAGTATAGTCTGAAGTCAGGGAGTCTGATTCCTCCAGCTCCTTTTTTTTCCTCAAGACTGCTTTGGCTATTCGG